CTTCAATCTATTCGTGGGGAGCAACACGCGCTGGGAACTGGGCCCAGTGTTGCTTATGAAGTCACAAAAACTTGAGAAAAGAAAATTAAGGTACCGGGGCCATTACATTACCGGGCTTCGGCTGAGAACATTCAAGGGAATTCAAGAAAAATCATGAACAATGAGAACAGAACAACAATGAAGAAAAAGAAGAAGAAGAAGAAGAAGAAGAAGAAGAAGAGAAAAATACCTGCAAAAAATGGGGGGAAAAAATCCTGCTTTTCTTTCTTTTTTTGTTCTTTTTAGCCGAATTTCGATTTTCATTTTTTTTAAATCGTAAATCAAGTCAAATTCGAAAAAAAAATACTAGTACCTTTGGCGCGTGGGAAAATAGCGGGCCTCCAGTGGGCCTCCGACCGTTTCGGAGGCCGAAACGAAACGAAACGACGTCCGCCGATCAAATTTATCAATGGCAGTCGTCGTCGGGCCCGGCCTCCGAAACTTTAGGAGTTTGGGAAAACGTCCACTTTTCCCTATTTTCCCACGCGCCAAAGGTACTAGGGCTTTAAGGGGTAGGGTTTTGCAAACCCTACAACCCCATATTTTTTATTTTTATTTTTACTTAGTACTTTACCAAAACAAACAAACAAACAGAAAACTGGGCCATACAAGCTGTTGACCTGGAGTTGCGAGTTCACATCTGGAACCTCATGGTTGGGCCCCATTGTGAGGAGCATCATGGCTTCCTCTTCCATGTTTTTCAACCACCAGTACTTGGCCCAGCTATTGGGCACGGAGAAAAATAGAGTAGAAACATTCCAGTCGGATGAATATGCACACTCTTGTAGTGGCCCGTACATTTCCTAAAATCGTGGCCTGTTAACGGGCACAACTTTAGGAAGTACTGGTGGTTTAACTGAAAATCATGCTCATTTCCTACTGAAAAAGTTCAATGAGGCCGCCGGGTTTCTCTATCTGGATTCCGAATAATACGGGGACCATTACCCAGCCTTGATTCAACCATCGCCCACTATTACCGCCGTCCCTCTTGCAGTTTAACTTTTGACCAAAGTATTGGTGTGAATCTCTCTCTCTCTCTCTCTCTCTCTCTCTCTCTCTCTCTCTCTCTCTCTC